CAAGATGTCCATGTCATTCTTTCTTCAGTCAAAAAGAAATTAAGGTTTTTGACACGCACGTTTGTGACTCTCCTGTTCAAACTCGTTCATCAAAATGAACAAATATTTTTCCGAGTCATTTGGTTAATTTAACGAACGAAACAAACAAATTGACTCGGAAAAAGATTCGTTAATTTTGATAAATGAGTTCGAACAGGAGAGTCACAAACGCGTGTCACAGAACAGAGCAAGGCGAGCATTTGAGCTTATAAAACTTAAACTTTGTTATTTATTTATTAAATGAGCGATCGTTTCGCTTGATAAGACCCTTATTCATCGCCTGGAATCGTTTAAAGCCCTTTGAACAGTTTGCAGTTTGTACTAAAAGTGTCTTTTGGACCTTGAACCGTTTGGTTCCCACTGAAGTGCATTATATGGAGAAAAATGCTGGAATGTTTTCATCAAAAACCTTTATTTCTTTTCGACTGAAGAAAGAATGACATGGACATCTTGGATGACATGGGGGTGAGTAAAATATCAGCAAAAGTTTTTTTCAAAAGTGAACTACTCCTTTAACTTAGTTTTAACATACAAAAATAACTTATACAACTTATTCAAAATTTGATTTGATGGGTTTTCTTTTTCAGTACACAAATATAACAAAATTACAATCCACTTTCCCTCTTCAAAGGAAAAAGAGAGTAAGTCAAACTCCCATCGATCCATATGTCTAGATGAGTAGTAGACTACAAGCTGTGCTGAGACTGACCGCTTCCAGAGAGACCAATTTCTCTAGTCTCATTTTAAAGGTGCTCAAAGCGATGTCACACGTTTTTTAGGCCGAAACATTTTTTGTCACATACAGGAACCATCTCCTAACTATCTGCTAGCTGCCTGTCCTCTCAACACACAGTAAAAAAACACTGTCTCTGTAGACACCCCAGGCTCCACAAACGGCAACAAAAACAAACCAACCTGGACCACGAGACATAACAGTGTTCCAGCCAATAACTGACATGAATGATTTGGGGGTGGGGGTTGGGGGGTTTGTGCACGCAATGAATGGGAGGGGGAGGGGACGGGATGAGGTGGAGGGAGGGTCGAGCAAGCTTTCGACAATACTTCAAACGTCAACATGCAGTGATGTCACCCAACATCGCGAAAAGCACCTTTAACACCAGTGAGGACTCTGGTAATGCTAGCATCTCATTCCAACACAATGTTATTTTACAAACATAAGATTTCCGCACACAGAAGGCACACTTTTCTAAAAGTAAGTAAATATGTCTGAGAGAAGTTGTGTTAATGGTGGCTCAGATTTGCTGTAAACACTCTCTGTTTGGACTTACAAGCCCAGGGCAGATCCTGGGAAACTTGCGCAGAGGCTGCTGTGGGTTCACAAGACGGCTAGATTCATTCTAGTCTGTAATTACAACATTGAGCTGAAAATAAGGCTTTGTTTAAGCAGATGCACACGCTCCAGCACATTCCACAACCAAATGTAACCTAGCTCTCCACGGAGGGATTCACGTCACTGAGACATATGGTAGGGTGGTCCAGTTCTGGACAACATACCCATGCTCAGTTCAACAATCACAGATCAGCTTTGCTGGAAATTAAGACAGAATTGAACAAAAATAATATATAGTGTGTGTGTGTGTATATATATATATATATGTATATAAATTTGTATTAAAAAAATGTATGACGGTTTCCACAAAAATAAAAAATAAAGCAGCAACTATTTTTGAAATTGATAATAAGAAATGGAGTAAACAAATCTCACTGACCCAAGCATTTGAATGGTAGCCCAGTCATTTGGCTTTTAAGATTGTATTACTATTAAAATGCTATTATTTTAACTATACTTTTCCATTGGAGAATAGCATTATTTTAAGATCTTAAAATTTCTGTAGTGAAAACACTGAATACTTCCAAACTGAAAAGAATTGTGGGGCTAGAAGAAACTGCAAGAGCCACAAGCATGTGGACTTCTCATAGGACGATTTTTGATTCAGAAAGTTGTGTTCTCTACCCAGGGATGGTCACCTGAGTTCCCTAATCTACACGTCTTATACGTTTGAAATCCTGTCAGACAGATCACAGACCACAGTGTGGACTTGTGCAAGCCAATTCCTTTTGGACACGGAGAACAAAATCCATTTTACTAAGTGGCTAGTCCCACTGTGTATAGAAACACATGTCATCCAGCAGGCAACTGAATGTGACATTGCCCCCTTCCCCAAAAACACTAAGTGCAAATTGTTTTGAGCTGAAGGACGTTGCACTGATGAGCAAAGCATAAAAGTGCACTTCATGCAGGGGTCTCCGATGTCTCCAATTCTCTAGGCAGGACGCTTAATGGCAGCGGCAGGAGGTTCCTCTGTATCAAACAGATCGTTTTCACACTCTGCAGTGCTCGTGCTGCCAGAATGTCTGTTCCTGCATGAGCTTAAAATCAAGATGTCTGCCACAAGGTGTTTAAAATGAAGCTATTTTTTCCTTCTTATCCACATACTGTAGATTGGAGAGACATACTATGGCACTGCTGAATATCTTTTTTTTGTATCGCTGTGGGATGATGGCTGTTTTCAAGCACCATTGAGTTGTTTGAGTTGTCTTTTCTCAAAAGGCATTGCACAGGCATGACACAGAAAGGAAAGAAGTGCAGTATTTTCCATTACCTTCTCACAAATTTCATGGCCGTGGGATGATAAAGAGTTGTTATCATCTGTGGCAAGCTTTCTTCCTGCCTGAGATCGTCCTGCCCCATAGAAGGAGTTTGATATAAGCAGAAAACATCAGCCTGAGCCCTCTGAGTTCATGTACAGAACAAGTTCATAGTATACGAATTAAAACAAGGATATTTTTAAGAAAACTCCCAAGCTTTTAAAGCGATAGTCCAACCACAAACAAAACTGCTCTTATCTTTCACTCACCTCGCACCATTTCAAAGCTGTATGGCAGTTTTTGGTTATACAATAAAAGTCAATGGAGTCCAAAAAATACAACAATGATCCCCCACTGACTTTCATTGTATAGAATATTCAAGAAAATCTTTTGTGTCCACAGAGGAAAGTAAGTAATAAAGGTTTGGAACGACATGAGGATGAGTTAATGATGGCAGAATTTCCATTTAGGATAAACTAACTAAGCCTTCGATCCAATGAATTTCTCCTAAATTTTCCAAAACGCTGCAACATAAATAGGCCAATCTGTTAAACAACTAATGTCTGTCATTTTACAACTTGATATTGAGTTTACCTAATCACAGCAGCAGGAAGTGCAGTAAAAGCCTTTGTTCCTCAGTTAAAGAGTGACATCTGGACACTTTGAACCCAGATCCAACAATCAGTTTGTTTACATTCACTTTAAAAGTTTGATTTTAGTTGGAATAAAACAATAATTTGTCTTTTTAAAATGTAAACCATTTAGTCTAACTGAATTCATGCAAGTCTGTTTATTTTTTTGTGAAGTTGCACTTGTGTGTATTACCCTGTGCACCATCCATATATGAGTATTGACTACGTGTTATAGACAGGCAGCTAGCGATGAACTGATTCATATGGCTTTCCATTGAGTGTATTATTATATCACGCTGTAGATTTTGTAAAAAGGTAAAAAGGTAGGTAGATGAGGCTCATCCAAGGCTCATCCACGCTGTAGATTTTAAGGTAAAAAGGCAGGTTTTGGTAATTAAAGTAGGTATATTAACATCATATCCCTTGATGAGATATATGTTATAAGTTGTAAAATATACACAGTAAATTACTGGCAACCACAGCTGCCTTTTTTACTGTAAACTTAACATGATTTTTGTTTTACAGATACACATATAAACAGGTCAAAACAGACAGACAGACCACATAAAACAGGTGGTCAAAGTATTACAAACAAAAGTTAGTTGAGTTAGTTGACAATGTCACTTTCCATTATGCTTCATGCGCATGTTTGAAAGTTTTCCTGCTTCTGCTTTCTGCAAATGTTCAACTGCATATGAAATATTCCATGCTTCATCTCAATGTAACTTAGTTATGTGTGTGGTCTGTGTGTTAGTGAAAGTCAGTACAAGAACGGATTTGTCTGAGCAATTGTATGGGAATCTCAGGCAGTGTGAGTGCAGTTTATGAATTCAAAATTGTACGGCGACAGGGCCGTGTGTTTGCCCAGAAACCACAGTAACGAAGAGGCTGAAGGAACGCGCTGGAAAACTTTAGAGCTGCCCACAGGCGAAGGCCCTGTTTAAAGTCTGGCAGATCACACGGCCTCGTTCAGCTCCACATCCTTTGCAAACATGTGGCTGCAATTGAGTGGAACAGCCCCTCCCTCCAGCCATCCATCCCAGCAGCCCCATGTAAACATCCCAGGCCCATACCATTCACTACATCACAGACTGATTGACCCATGCCTCAGAGCGACATCTAAACTCGCACTACAGTCTAATCAAAAGTAAAGCCCGTAAGTACCTGAGAAAATCCCAACAGTGATCCAGTCGATGTGGCGGTATGGAGTTCAGCGTTGTAAACACGGTTATCATATGTCGTGAGTCATTAATGCGGGGGGAACGGCGAAGCAGGGGGATCTGGTCTCTGACAGACCAATCAAGCGCCAATAATTATGAGACAGGAAACCCGCTGATTGTGTAGGTCTGTCTCTGTCTCAGGGACAGGGTTAAGGGTTAATCTCTCGGCTTCGGTAATCAAGGTTGTTGTATGCTCCTTCTCTCCCAAACGAAAATACAGCCAAATTTGGAGGTAAAGAAAAGAAAAGAAAAGGAAAGAAAAACTGCAGCATTTACTAATGTAGTTGGCTCTGGAGTGAGTCTTTGAAAAAGAGGTGACACTCTGGTAACAGAGCCGAGTGCTCCAATCATTTACTGGCAGTTTCATTTCACAAAGGCTTCTGTGATATACGACAGACCACGATGAAAAAGTATAAAAACACACAGACCAAAGGGAAAAGGGATAAATTCAATCAAATTAAAGGAGAGCATCATACACTGGTCTGCAACAGGTTCTTACCTCACAGGGTAGCAAGTGTGGCAGTACATCATGATCCGGGGTACTCATGAGTCAGGAGGAGCAGTTACTGTTAATCAAGGTAAAGCCACAAACTCCTCTGAGTACCTAAAGAGACATGGAATACAAAAAAGATGATTATACAATCAGGTGAAAAACTAATGGCCTGTTGACAGCTCGTCACTTCAAGTATTTTTACTCATCTGATAGCTTAAAACGGTCCCATTTACACATGGCCAAATAATTGTGTCTCCGCAAAATGAATAATAATCCAATCTGGTTAACCTTCATTCAATTTTGTAACATTTAGCGACAAAAAAAAAAAAAAAACTCAAATAAGTGCATTGGCATTATCTTGTTGCATTACAAATCAGAGAATTTAATTTTATTTCTAAAGCACCCATTCATTATTCCAATTAGAAAAATGTAACCATGTGAAAGAACAACTTGTTGGTGAGTAACATACAATTAAAAAAACAGTTTTGAACAGTTTTCTCATGAGTATGTCAGTTGAACAGCTGCCAAGTCACAACTTGACAACATTTTCAGAATTACTTGTTTTTGGATTATGAAAAAAGAATCAATGTTGGGTGGGGACTAGGTTCTATGCATCAGTTGTTGATTGGATTTTGAGATATGGCCACTGCACTCAAAAATGAACGAGCTTACAGACAGTTGTGGCGGATCGGCGAAACATTAGGAGGTCAAGAAACACATGGATAAATTGTTCTTAGAGGGTGCTTTCACAATGACAGTTTAGTTCAAAACGGGGGATTTTTCGCATTAAAAAAATGTTAATTAAAAGCTGTCAAGTGGACCTGAGAGCACACTGGGGCACTGAACAAATGAAAGTACATATTTGCAAGTGTATTACAAGGTTAATAAACTCAACCATATGAATTTTGAACCACCAAAAACAGAGGCTTAAATGGTAATAGAAGAAATTGAGAGGGGGAATTGTTTCATGTCAAGAAAGTTAATGTCAAAACTCAACATGCCAAGTCACTAAATTACACTGAAAATGTCACAAAGGAGATCCCAGGATTAAACTGAACTGTGTGGATTAGCGCCAAACACAGGGCAAAAAATGCTTCTTAGACAGACTGTCACCAAGTCTGAGACATTCATATCCACACAGGTGCCAGGAGGAATTGACCCCACTGCCCTCACTGAGAAAGAGGATTACAACTTATTTCCCAAAGTCCTGGAATGTGGACTTCTTCCCAAATCCGAAGCTTTAGAGATGATCTTTGAAATATGCCTCATCAAAAACAACAGAATCAAGCTTCAGATTCTAATCAGAGTGGCTTGCGTACTCTTGACCAGAATCATGTGACTTGATTTGTGACACTGTTTTGTTGCGGTGCTGAAAGATGAGCGACAGCTGTAGGAAGTGGAAATCAAACATGAAGATTCCATCACTGCTGTTAATTCCAGAGGGTTTAGTAAAACCAACAGGAAACCATGAGGGTGTATAAAAAGCAATTGGGGCTCTGAGGGGAGACTAATACGATCAAAGCGAACGATCAGCCATAGCTAATTGAAATTAAAGCCCATGAAATGAGAAGGTTAGTATGGTTCATTGAAGCACTGTGGATGGGAACACAGATGCCTTGAGGGAGGACTCGACTGTGCCTGCAAAGCACCCAGTCATTCTTTTTGCACTGTGGTTATGATATTCCTTAATGTTTGTGTTTTTTTACAAGAGCATTCAGTCATGATTCAGCTTTGTGGGGATGGCAACAGCTAAGCTTTTTTTCTGTCAAGACCTTTAGTTGTGTGAGATGACACAGCAAACTTGTTTACTGTCAAAGCCACAGGCTTCAAACACAATTTAAAACCACCAATGAGCAAAAAGCCAAAATATATTGTTGAAAATAGCCAGATAATCATGCCAAGCTTAAATGCGAACTATGTGAACTAATGCAAACTATGTGATCAGTCAAACATCCACCACTAAAACAGTCCATTAAGATGTGCAACTAGCAAAGTATAAAGAAGAAAGCCAATAATTAACCCTGGGCTCACAATAGTTGAGTGATGATGACCCCCATGTAGCACATCTGTTCATATTCACCATTTATGAACCTTTACTCATTTCCTCTACAAAGCAGAGACCTATTACGGAGGAAGTCATTCAATTACAACCAGCCATTCTCCATTCATTTAGGTTATGGCTCTTAAACAGATAACACAATAGCTTTAGCTCATGGTGCTGTATAAGACCTTCAGCTAGCCTTATCTCCTTGAGTCTGCTATGTAAAACAAAAGTAACACATCTGCACAAAAGGATGTGAATTTGCAAGTGAACTTGGCATGCTTGTCTGAATGTATAACTCCCATTTTGCAAGCGCTCTTCCTGTAACAACAACACTGAAAACCGACGTGCAACTAAATTAAACTCTACGAATTTACAACATTCCGTAACGATAGAATCGTGTTCTGCTGCAGCACATCTCGTACTTTACTGTATTTCTATTACCAACGTGATTCAAGGCATCACTGCATGCTTTCAAAAGTCATAGTTTTACTTTAGTTCTCTGTTCTGGATGGCATACTGTCTAACACTAATCAGATCTTAGGTACCTAAAATGCCACAGTAATCAATCAGAAAAAAAGAAGTCAGGGCGATCATCGTTTTCATGATCGATTGTCACTGTCATGTTCGAATACACCAGTGCTTGTGCCCATCCCTAGCCTGGTTAAAACCAGACCATTCTCAGTTGTAACTGAGTTATGGTCTGGCAAAGCGTCATAGACAAATCATTTCCAGAGGGGCGTCACCAATGGACGTCGCGGGTAGACCTAAAACCAATCAGAGCGGTGAAGGAGGACGGCGGAGAAACATCTCAGGGTGTTGTTCTTTGCTCGGCTTTCAACAAAAAGGAAACGTTTAAATTGCTTAAAACAGACACGATAGCTGATTCGAACGAGTGATGTTCGACGGCGGCATCCATCTTTGTAATGTAGGCTATACAAAATCTGCACTGTCATCATCGTGTAAAGCCCGCCCCAACGTTTCTGATTGGTGCCGCGATTTCAACAGATATCAAAAATGGAAATGGGCTTGAATGAGCTCTTTGCCAGACTAACTTTCAGAGCAAATCTAAATTTGCCAGAAGTTGTCTGGGTTTCCCAGGCTAGCCCATCCCTAATATATACAGTATATATACAACAAATATATATACACAGTACACACACAACAAATTCATAATCATTTAAAGCTACACTGTGTGATTTTTACCCCCATGTTGCGGTGAAAAGGTATATGACCATCCACTGAATATTAGTTTCTGTTCCTCTCAATTCCAATTTTGTTTTAACTCCTACGGTGGCCAATGTAGTCCAAGATTAACATGGCTTCCAGTTCAACCACGTCCATGAGTATTAACTCAAACGTAAACGCAAAAGGCGAAGCTTGAATTAACGGGGATGTCCCTCTTTGGCTAATGTACTTTCAAGATGGAGGGGCAACATGGCGACCGACATTAGAACCCCTTACCCATATGTATTTTCAATGGCATATTATACACTCATGAGAATACTTTATTACTTGAATGAAGTAAATATACATTAATGAGCACATATATTTTTGAAAGAACTATATGTTTTTACCTAAGAATAAACTAAAAGATTTACACAGTGTAGCTTTAAGAATCAATATACCACCTCCTACCTAATGCTATCAAGACTGACACATGATTACAAAAAACATTTGAGCAGAATAGAATCAAAATAGAATCCTGAACTGTTCCAAAACTCTCTCACACTGACCCCTAGCCATAAGGGCATCCTTAATGCCAAACCCTGGGGTTCTTTGCATTTAACCTGTATGCTGAAATTAAACCTTGTTTTCTTTGCCTGTGATCTTGCTGGAGGGCTCAGTGCTAATGAATGTTTTTTTTATTGAGGGTTTTGTTCAGGTTCAGCAGTGCTCTGAGCACATGCAAAGTTCAGACTGAGAGTCAGACTCTGGAAATGCCCCTCTTTATAGTTGTGTGGTTCTGTGCAGATGCCAAACACATCTCAGACCTGACATAATGCGCTGCAAAAAATGCAGACGGCATGGTTTGGGAAGCAACTCTTTCCATAATAAAATGTCAAATATAACTACCCACGCAAAGCAGAGGGAAAAGATCCAACACTCAAACAATCAAAAGTGTATTACAAAAAAGAATACTAATTATCCAAATAATGCAGTGTTTTAAACAGCACTAGAATAAAATTTTGTGCTTAATACAACTGCGCTCATACAGCATTCTGCTTTTTACTTGCTGCCGTAGGTGCGAGGCTGTGAGACACAAAAGTACTCTCTGCAACCGGTTACAAATTGCATTTAACGCTGTTGTTGGTAATTCAGCATATCTCAATTGGACTTATTTATTTAATAACGTGCTGTCAATCGTTGTAAAACTTCACCGTTTTATGGGCACCTCCATGTTGGGTTATAGAATATCGTTGTGAATGTATGAATATTGTGAATTAATATTTCTGCTGTAAATCCCAAAAAGTGACCGTGAACACAGCCATGGTAAAAACCTTTCCTAATTAGGCCTACACTGCATAAACCTTATCTTTTGTGATAAATGATATAATTAGGTAAAAGTTAATTCATAGATTACTTCTCGACGCATGCGCGAGAATTGCGATCTGAAGTAGTGTAAGCAGATTGCAATTCTCGCGCATGCGTCGTGGAAATCTAAGGAAGTCTCGTTTCTGGCCTACAAGGAAGAAAAGAAATAGTCGAATAAACTCGTTATTTTTGTTTGTTTTTTCGCACAAAAAGTATTCGCGTCGCTTGATAAACATATAGTTGAGCCACGGTAGTCACTTGGGATATTTAAACATTTTCTTCATTGACTTTCTGGGCCGTCAAGAGGCAGTCCCTTAGGCAGCCAATGTGGTAGTTATACAGCTCTCAAATTTAATAAAAAATATCTTCATTTGTGTTCCGAAGACGAACGAAGGTCTTACGGGGTTGGTACAGCATGGGGGTGAGTAATTAATGACTTAATTTTCATTTTTGGGTGAACTAACCCTTTAAGGTCATTATTTTTTGGTAAATTAACCAAAGTATCGACTATTTAGAAAATAAACAATAGATTAACCCAATTTTTTTTTTAGATTTATCGATTAATCGAAAAAATAATGGATAGATTAATCATCAAAAAAGAAAAAAATACTTCCAGCCTATACTAAATTGAATTCTCATTTACATCTTCTTGCGCTTGGACATATATATATATGTCCAAGCGCAAGAAGATGTAAATGAGAATTCAATTTAGTATAGGTAAATCGATAAATCTAAAAAAAAATTAGGGTTAATCTATTGTTTATTTTCTAAATAGTCGATACTTTGGTTAATTTACCAAAAAATAATGACCTTAAAGGGTTAGTTCACCCAAAAATGAAAATTAAGTCATTAATTACTCACCCCCATGTATATATACAAAAAAAAAAGAAAAAAAAAAAAGAAATGAAATGCCCAATTGGCAAGTATCCGAGTAAACACAGTATCTTATGGCTTCACTGAACATAAATCAGTATATTGGATCCGTGCATTCATATCCAATATACTGGGCCTACCTGTAAAGCATTATTTCATGTTTTTTTTTTGTTCTATTGTATACTATTGCTCGTAATTTAATTATAAGTTATTATTTTATTACTGACTGTTTAGTTGTCTCTAACAATATTTAAAATGTATATGAGTTAGACAAGTTTTGGTGTTATAACCTTATTTATTAAGGTCACATCGGGTCAAAAAAACAACAAAAACTATAAGCAGGCCTATTTAATTTTATTCATTTATTACTTTTTTTGGCGGGGACCAGTAGAAAAAAAATCCTTGGGATAATAGTGACACTAGGCTTTAGTTATAAGTCACTACCGGATAAAGGAGTAGAACTCAACATTGGGAGGTCTCGGCACAGCAAATAATGGACGTGTGTACTTTTCACGCTCAGCTAACCACAACCAACTCTGCTCTATTGTTATGTGTGGTCACAACAAAATGCTCCTGAAAGACATTGCATTTTCTATAAAGAGACAGATAAAGAGTGACATGGAAAAAGGTATTACATAGAGCTCTACCCCAACATGAGGGTTTAAAGGCTTAAAATGCAATTTGGTTGCAGTTTCCAAATACAATGTTTTCTGTGCATTTTCTCTAAAAGCACACATATGACAAACAAACCTGCATGCATGAAAGATGTGCTTCGCTTCAAAGTAGTAAACAAGATATTTCTTTGTGTTATTTCAACCTTGAAGCTTCTCAAAAGAATCATTCTTCACTTAACAACAGCATATAGGCCAATTGCAGATTTGGCATTCATTAAGATTTAAAGATAACATTTAGTGAGAAAAGATTCACCAAACAGGGATGTGTGCTCCACCTTTCAATAAAAAAGGGACATAAACAGGCTGACTGTTACTGCAGAAAGTGATAAAATCTCCCCAGACTCCATTTCATTCTGCAATTCAAGGCCGTGAAACCACTCCTCTAGTTTTTCACCACCATGTCTTATTACAGCCTAGGAGGTTAAACGAAAACTGAATAGACTGCTTGCAACTCCTGAGTCTTAAATTTATTAGTTCATCCAAAAATGTATAATTGATGATAACTGTGTCATCTTTTTTTTTACCCTAATTACACTCAAAATATGTATGACATTCTTTCTTCTATGGAAGGTCAAATTTAATAATGCTTGTTGTTTGTATTTTGTTTATAAAATAAAACTCAATGGGGGTTAATGCTGTTTCGGCTTATGACCGCTTTGACTTTAAATATACGGCCTATAAAAAGCAAGAAAGTTATAAAATTATATTCTTGATCAAAAACAGCTGAAACATTCTTCAAAATATCTTCATTTGTGTTCTTCAGAAAGCAAGTCATACAGGTCTGGAACGACTTGATGGTGAGTGAATGATTTCAGAATTTTCATTTTTATGGGGTGAATGATCCCTTTAAGCAAATCAGAGCATGTAAGACTAAAAGCAGCTTCGCTTAAAGTAACGTTCTTGTCTGATTCAGCTTAGAGCGCACAGGGACCGAAACCTGACTCTTTTACTCTGTCTCTTCCCCCCTTTCCATTCTCCCTCCCTCTCGTTCTCGTTCTCTCTCCTCCCCCCATTCCAAGGAGAGAATCTTCTATGGCCAGACGAAGGCCCACAGGCTGAAAAATAAAGAGCGAGTCATGCATGGAGGAAACGGGCCACCATTTCTCCTTTAAATACACCCATAACGATATATAAATAAAGAAAGCCTGGTTCTTAGGGAGAAAATTAGATTTGCTTCTCTCTTCCCCTCCCACTCCAGGCCTTCTATTTTAGTTGCAAGCAGAGCAGGCCTTTTCTGGCCTGTGGCTGCAAGAGCAATTCAGATGAATGCTGAAGGTTTCATTTTGCTGCAAGAAGTGGGAGGGGTGCTGCTGGGGTCAACGCTGTTTTTGAGCCCACATTTTGCACATAGTGCTCGGCCTCAATATATTTTGCAGTATTGCTTCCTGAGTAAAAATATGTTGGGATGTTTTGGTAAACAAGAGGAAAAATACTGGTTATTTTATTTGTAATGTTGGTGTTAGATAAGACAACTCTAGGCTATTTGTTGTGATTGCATACATTGATTGTGATTATCCAGTGGATTGTTTAAATAGCACTACTTGACCTGAAGCATGTTTATAAGGTCAGTCCAGCCCTTGAAACAGGAATTCACATTCACATCTATGTCAGACAGATTTGTCTAATGACTGTTCATTCTCATTGGCAAAGGTTTTGTAATCTACTGACATGTTTGTATTTATACTAAACTAAATGCAAAAGTAGAATTCACACTATAAGCTAAACTCTCACAAATGAGTTTATTTAAAAAAATTAAAAAGCAAATAAATAGCTTTATTCAGACAACAAAGAGTTGAAAGAATTTTGTTTTGTCACACAACAGGAATCTCCACAGCCCAATGCATGCAGGCAAAAGGAGACCCTATTTAGAAAACAGTGTGCCTTCTTCCTTCATTAACATTATTCACACTTGCCAACATGCCATCTCATATCAATATCTCCACAATCGAAGACTTTCAGAATATTAAGTAACAGACAGTGCCCTGTGTTAACTTGAACAACTATTCATATTTACGGCAACTCAGAGAAAGGGAAAATAACAGGGAAAGCATTAGGTCTATTTGTGTTTCCGAACACTTCCACACAAAAAAAAAAAAAAAAAAAAGAGAGAGAGAGAGAGGGCTTCCAAGAGCAAGTACAGGCCCTCTCTAAGGTTCTCTGTTTTTCATCTGGAGTTTTCAGCACTTTTTCCCTCCACAAATCTGAAAGAGCAATACCATAGTAAATTAAGATATATGGAAAGAACTGCCTCTCTCCTCATACAAGATTTATCTCTGTCTCCGTGTTTATTTACTCCTGGGACTAATCATGGGTCTGTTCATTCTCTAGGTGCTGTGGCCCAAAAAAAAAAAAAAAAAAAAAAAAAGATTTACACTTTATTCTAAATGTCCCTCTAAAACAACTAATGGAAGAGTTGGCAAAAGAGAGAACATCCCATACAATATACCAATAGCTCATAGTTAAGGGTGTTCAAATTTGACACAGAAAGTTGATTAAATTGTGGAAACATACAAGTCTTACAAATGTGTCACTTTAAAAACACTCAACAATAAGAAAACAACTAAGAAAAAAATGTAACAAATGAGACATAATATTGACCAATATTCAATCTTTTCAACTTAATCAGTTTTAGTTCAATAACAAAACTAGCAATAGCAATTATTAATGTTGTCAATGCAATAATCATAATATAATGTTTTTGATTGTTGTAGTCATTTAGTTATGCTTGTGTTATGAAGAAATATAGGCATAGTTTTGAGGAAATTGATAATTGGATACTTTGACATAAAATAACCTTTATGTTGACTATTGTTAATGCAAAGACAACATCTCACTAATAAAGGACAAACTTATTTTAATTCAACTACTGACACCCACCAATCTGGGCAACACAACAAGTAAGTAGTCGTGATTTTACACGATGCATGTTGGGACTTGACAACAAAACCCAAACACAGATGTTATCGAAGCAACTCCAAACAAATAATAATAATAATAATAATAATAATAATAATAATAATAATAATAATAATACAATAAACAACATGGAGCAGCGACGTAGACAGGAATTAGCTATTTAATTTACGTTTGCTTTATGAGAATATGGCTGTTGTAGAAAAAGCATATGACTAAAATGGGTTGGAATAAGAAAAAAGGAGACAGAGGACAAAAGAAGCATTTACAAACACTGTACACAATAAACCCGTTGTCAGTTATTGTATTAATTCTTTTACTCGTTTAAAGCGTCCTTTATTTTGCAAAACGAAACCATGACAAGAGAGAACAAACTTTCCCCCTCCACAACCGGAAAGAAAATCATCACACAAATATCCGGAATTCCCACTTACCTTTTAGATGAAGCCGCTAATTCAACTCAAAATCCTTGCAAATTAGGATTTATGACTCGTGACGAAGGTCTACTTCAAAACGTGAATTATGGACACTCTCTGTGGTGAGATTTTCTCCTGGTTTCGTAGACGTTTTTCTCTAGTTTCTTTCGTTCTTTTCTCTGTAGTTGTGCCTCTGTGTAGAGGGAGCATTCCACTCGTGCACGTAACGAGATGAGCCCTGATTCAATTCTCCAATCACAGACGCACGCTGCTTCAGTCCTCCAATCACAGGAGCGCGGCTGAGCTCGAGCGTTCCACACGTAGACGCGCGCGGTGAAAAACAAGCTGGATAGACGCGATGGAGAGGGAGAGGATGGATGAATTGCAGGGTGTCGCCCAAAAATGAGAGCCGCGGATGCCATCTGGTGTCAACACGAGGAAGAAGATAGTAGTAGTTTCTATTTTAAGTTTTTATTTAAGGCTACCCTACAATACAAGTAATAAATAATTCAATACACATACAAAATAGGCGTCCGCTTTTTATATTTGTAGGCTAAATGTACACATAAAATGTAAGGGAGAAGTAGCCTACGAACTGAGGAGTACGAACTTACCTCTTACTTCAGAGGAGGTAAGAGTGAATTCATTCGGAATTATAGTACCATCTCCAGGCCAGTATTGGTGTTGCAGAAACTGACTGGATGGATATTGCCAGACTCTTATAGTAGATATTCATAAGTTTAAAGTTTTAGAGCCGGTAAGATTTTTTAAAATGTTTTTGAAATAATTATCTTATACTCGCCAAGGCTGCATTCTGTTAATTCTTTACATAATTCTTTACATAATAATTTTGTTACAATTAAAATAACTTTCCCCCCCCTATTTGAATATATTTTAAAATATGATTTATTTCTGTGATGGCAAACTGAATTTTCCATTACTCCAGTCTTTTCCTATTATCAATGTTGACAGTAATGTTGCCTAATATTGTGTAACCGTTCTATTTATATTTTCAGGATTCCTTGAGAGTTCAAAAGAGTACCATTTATTTGAAATATACTGTCACTTTTGATCATTTAATGCATTCTTCTATTAATTTATTTAAAAAAATAAGACTATGTTATGGACCCTTACCTTCTTTGCACAATCAACCTCAATCAATCACAGTAGGCTACATATGGTTTTATAATTTCTATAATTATATTTATGTGTGGTAATTTATTACGATTTACCTTACAAAGAATTTAGAACACCAAAAATAGTTAATCCAATCATTAGAAGACTGTAAACGACATGTCACACTGAGACCTTTGTTTATTTGTTTTCAAAGTAATAATGGTTTATTCACATTAACAATAGTACATTTTGGTTTGCATTACAATATGTGCTGTGGAGTATTGCAGTGGATGTGGTAGGCCTACATTATTTTATAATTTCTCTCAGGGTTAGTCTTTTTACATCAGCAATTCGTTATTCAGCAATAATTTAGGATAAACAGAGCAGCCAAAAGAGAAAAAAGAGAAACATAAATGAAAAAGAAAATGACAACTGATTTGCATATGTTTCAGTTACTGAAAGTTACATGAAACACACAAACATGAACATCAAACACAACACAAGAGCTTTGTGTGTTCCCTTATAGGCTAGTTTATAACTCTAACTCACATTCCAGTCACTAGACTACAATTCTATATCTATTGCACCCTCACTTTACAAAGTCTTCTGGTTTCTTTGTTGATTGTTGCTTCAACTTCTATCCAGCAACATCAGGAGGCGTTTACCCCTGGATGTTAAGGATCTGTGCAGATAGGCCGTGGTGCCAGTTTTTCAGTTTGGCAAATCGTGGGCCTTTTACCTCTGATTCAAATTTCTCCCTGTAAAAAAAAATTATACTTCGACAAAACGGCTTTATATGGTCCAACCATAAAATTTGTGTCAATGTATACATGTAAAGTACTTGACTATTAGTTTAACTTTAATTTGTTATTTATTATTGGGTTTACATTTAATATATTTTAAATAAGCTAAACTGAAACTTTTATTTTATCTTATATTTTTAAATATATTTTAACATGACATACAGATTTCAAAAGAAATTACATTAAAGTATATTTTTAGTTAGCAGAAATGCTTGTCAGCACATTTGGCAGTACCCTTTTCAACAGAAAGACTACAGAAATAATTATGAAATAACATAGAAGTTTGTATGTAAGTCCTATGTGTGTTAAAAAGCACTTTCAAGGTGATGAAATTGCATCTGGACAGTGTTCAAAATTATTACGCAAGTGGCATATTAGTAGGATTTCAGTAAATCTTAAACATTCAGATTTTAGTTTTTCAAAGTTTGCTTGTTTTATTTCTCATGTCTTTTTAGGTATTAATCTCAGACAGGTTTGTGAAATAGTTTGCCTACTTAAGTCAATGGAAAACCTAAATAAATTACATTATTAAGCAAGTCGCAGTTCTCTCGCAATACAGGGAGGAAGAAAAATCTTTCTGAAGATGAAAAGCATGAAATTGTGCAATGTCTTGCAAAATGCATGAAAACTAACTAATATTTGATATATTTTCAAATGAATTGCATTAAAAGTAAAGCTATAAAAAAAAGTATATCTTTATAAAAAGCTCACGTTTCTCTTTTTTGAGCTTTGGGAAGGGATGGCTGAATGCAACTTTATGCACAACTGCCAGTCTGCATGGAGAGATTATTGGGACTCCAGAGACACAAGCAGAGACACTTTAAAAATACCTGTTTGCTGATCAACAGTGTAAAAAATATTTATATTTTATACTGCCCTTTTAATATAATTAATTTGCCTGACATAAACTTTCCCTGACCAAGTTCTTCTGTGCTCACTCCAAAATCTCCATTCAGTTTTCACTGAATATTAGTTATTTTCATGTCTTTTGCAAGACATTGCACAATTTCGTGCCTTTCATCTTCAGAAAGATCTTTCTTCATCCCCATGTATTGCGTGAGAACAACTTCTTTAAGTAGTTTTTCCATTTACCTAAGAAGACCTGGCAAACTATTTCACCAAGCTGTCTGAGATTCATACCAGTTATCTGAGAAAAGATATGAGAAATAAAACACTTTCTTTGAAAAACTAAAATCTAAATGTTTATTGTACTGGAATACTAATTATGACATAAATATTTGTAACACAATGTAAATTTGAAGTATATATATATTTTCATTTATTTGTAAATATCATAAGAAATGAAGTGTCCGAAAACATTACATTTACTTAACACTTAAAGGGAGTTCACTTTAAAATTATTTTTTGATATGTTTTATCTTACCTCAAGGACATCCAAGATGTAGGCGTTCAATTTTGATATTTTTAGGTCAAACCGTTATTGTCTATCAGTCATATAATGCAGGTCTATGGTCACCACCTCAAAGAGCATGCATAGAGAAGTGACTCGTAAATGTAAGTACACATTGATGGCCTACGACACGAAACGAGCGGTTTGTGTGAGAGAACGAACAGTATTTATATCGTTTTTACCTCTTGTTACCACAGCCACGTCCAAGTGATCTGAGAGAGTGGGCACTTTGTGGCTGTGGTAACAAGAGGTAAAAACGATATAAATACTGTTCGTTCTCTCACACAAACCGCTCGCTTCGTGTCCATCAATGTGTAATTACATTTACGAGTCATTAAAACATGTTTAATTTGGACTTCCTTGTGCATGCTCTTTGAGGTGGTTACCATAGACCTGCATTATATGACTGATAGACAAGAACGGTTAAACCTAAAAATATCAAAATTGACGGAAACAAAGACACCTACATCTTGGATGCCCTTGAGGTAAGCTAAAATATACCAAAAATTCATTTCAAAGTGAACTATCCCTTTAAGTATATTCTTTAAGTAGCCTATTTCCTTAATAAGATCGTAAGGATTAATTAATGAACCGCTATTTTAAAATCATCCCTGTCTACTGACATTTGGTATGACATGTTTTTAAACATTACAAAGCTCATGATAACCTTTTCCACAACAAGCAAATCCACGTCTTCACCAGCTAATTACTCTTCATAGAAATACAGAGCTACCGCAACAACAACAACAAAAAAGAAGACAAAATTACGGTAATTATGAATTACCTTGATTTTCTAAGAGCCTCTTCATCTGGATCTTGCACTGTGACATAAAAAAATAAAAATTGAGACATCCTTTACAGATTTTTATCACATAAACACTAGCTGTCATCTTATGTCAGTGCATCTCTAAAGCACGCCAGCCCTTTCAGTTCAAACCAATTTCCAGTCCACACAGTGATGTGATTATAAAAGGCTGTACTCACAATACTCTGTCCCTGTGATATGAGCAAGCATTCGGAAGGACTTGGACTGCAGGTTGGCGGCACGACGGGCCCACTCAGACATCTCCGGATCCTTATCGTCAGGTTTGATCACGGCCTGGTAGACTGGAGAAGCACTGTCCACAAGAGGGTCTTTAATAGGAAGTGTGCTACTCCCAAACAGAGAGAAAAAGAGGGAAAAAAACAAGATCAGTCGTTCATCTGTGTTCTCTGAATTTGGAAACATCAAATAATTACATAATTGCAGAACCAATAATCATAATAAAAGGGCAGTATTTGCTGGCAAACTTTTTTACATTATGCTTCTTGTGAAGATGTGCATTTTAACTACAGTTCCATCTCCGTGCGAGATCTGTGATGGAGGAAGTGACTCAAGAATGAGTTGGGATAAAACCTATGCAGAGTTCCCATATTAGGAGAAGGTAAATTAAAATGTTAGATGTTATGCAATTCTTGATGTTACGGCAGATATACTCAGAACATTGCTTTTAGGTTTTGTCTTAATTCGTTTTTAATACAAGATTATTGATTTTTCTTTATTGAGCTCCATTTACTTTACTTACATATTCCCAACAGTGTAACATGGTAATTGAAAAATTACCAAAAAAGTCCACTTCAGTGTTTATGCAATCGGCCTTTAACAGAGAATATAATGTGAGATGAGTCAATGCAGCTGTGATGGATCTGGATAGACTGTTGGCTACTTACGCCAGGGGAGATCCAGCGGCGTCATCACCACTGTCAATCACATGATGAACCGGGATGGGAGGGAGCGAGACAGAGTCGTGTCACATGGAGGGAGGGGAATGGTGGAGGGGTGAAGCGAGGATAAGTGATGAGGTATGGTCGGGTGATTGGTTGTGGATGGAGTGACATAATTACAAGCAGAAGAGGAAGGAAAAGTACAGATGAGGTTGATATACA